CAGGAAAATTGAAGGGGAAGAGGATAAGAGAAGGGGGGGAGAGATAGAAGGGAAGGCAGACTGGGGGAAGGGGTATTCAGAATGCATGCCATCTTGGGGTGGGGGGAAGGGCGAGATGGGGTGAAAATTTGGAACTCAAAACCTTGTGGAAGTAAATGTTGAAAACAAAAAAATTTTTTAAATTACCTTTAAAAAAAAAAAACAAAAACAATGACTAAGTATTGTCCTGTAAGAATTGAAAAAATCAACTCCCCTCTTTAAGGAGGTGGTGACTATGGGTATAGAATACTGCAAATACTGTCAGGCAGGATTGATATATTGATTTTGCCTAATTGCTTTTTACTCTTGTTTTTCAATCTTTGTTATGATGGATGGTTCTTTGACTAAGAAAGGAGAGAGGTCCTTTGTAGGTGATATAACAACAAAAGAGGTCAATTAAAATGATATTTCATTTATATATCATTTCAAACTAAATTTATTTCATTCATTATATCATTTATTTCACACATTCATATTTCATTAATTCATTTCTTTTTTTAAAGGATTTCTAACCTGGTAGATCAGGAAAATGCTAAAAACTCTATTTACCCAGTATAGCATTTAATAAAATAGCTCATACTATTCTTGTGAAAAAGATAGATATGGACAAGACAGTGAGTTCTCAAACCAGTTTTCCTCTTTCTCACTCCAAGGTGCTGTAAGCAAGAACTTCTACAAAATCAGCAAATTGCAGGAAAGGTTAACATGTATTATTATTATTATTATTGTTGTTGTTGTTGTTGTTGTTGTTATTGCGTTAAGAATAACCTTTGTTTCCTCTGTTTTAAACAAGAAAAGCTTGGAGTAGGAGGGAAATTTCTCAACAATCCCATATACAGGGAGTTCTCAAACCAGCAGGTCTAGTCACTGGTTCCATAACATTGCAAAAGAAACAGGACAGAGATTGCTTAACTTCTCCCAAAAGTTCTGGAATCTTTTCCATCCTTACAACCCATCTTCAATTTGCATTTTTAATCTAAAGAACAAATAAAAGTCTGTCTAGCTTTTTTTTTAGCCATTATCCCACCTCTACCCTCAATACTAAATTATTTTTAATCTGAGAGAAGAGCATCAAATCTGGAGAAAAATAAACAACTATTAAAGAACACAAAAATCTTGAAATGTTGTGTTCTACAGAAATGCAAACTCCTCAAGGGCAGAGGTTTTATTTCCATCAGTTTCTGGCACATAATCAGAATGTAGAGCTTCTGTACTGTATGCATAATAGGAATTTAATAAAAGTTGATATGCAGCTAACTTTAACATCTAGCTTATAAAAGGCTCAAAAATAGAAAATTACACATTCAAAGCAGCCCAAATATATTAGCACTTATTTCCAGGTATTTTCAAGTACTTTGGAGTATGGGATCTATGTGGAGCTAGGGGGAATGAGGAAGGAAGATCAACAGGGAAGAAGAATTTACAGCAGGAAAAAAATTGAGAAATTTAAAAACCAAAGCAAGAGCAAGCTTGAGACTTTGCCAATATTTCAAACAAGATTAGAATCCTTTTACTCTGCATATAAATTCAATGCTCTTTCCACTACACCTTGCTCAGAAAAAATTTTCAAAAACCATCTCTATTGGTTACCACTGTGTCTGCAGAATCAACAAATTCTTTTTTGTGTGAATATCTCAGATTCCAATAATTACATGGAACCCTTATTACATGCTTTTCACAAAGTAAACACTTAATAAATGCTCATTCATTCATTTCTATTTTCTACAGCAAGACCAGAAAGAACAAAACTCACATATGCTTACATATCTATTGCATCATCCTTTTTTACCGTATTACAAATCTGTATGGATCAGTGTTATTTGTTTTAAACTGTAAGGTCCTAGAAGATGTGGACTTAGTAAGCATGTTTAACTACTTTTATAAAGCATCCAATGTATCTTAGTAAGATCAACATAGTTAAGGGACCACTGAATCTCTCAGGTCCACAAACAATCTAAGCTTGATTAACATACAAAACGAAGGAGAAATCTGATATCTGCCACAATGTGGTTGTACTCATGACCAGATTACCTTGAATTTATTACCTTAATTCCAAAGTAATAAATCTGTTTATGAGAATTGTGACTACTTCATCTAGCAAGAAATAAAAGCCTGGGGGTAGGGGAGCACCTGTATCCATCCAAAACTCAAAGCCATTATTTTCCTTAATAGTAAGTACCTGAGAAACTGGTAATCAGCTTACCCCATAGTCTATTCATAACATAGGATAGAATAGATCCTTCTGTAGCCCCACTGTCCAGAATTCCCAGCCAAGTGTATTACTAGCCCCATGAAACAAGCTCAGGAAGGCTTATTCTGTTTTTGCCAGTGCTCCAACTCTGGGTGGAAGAGCATCTAAAAAATGAGCTAACAGGTGGAGCAGTGGATAGAGCACTAGCCCTGGAGTCAGGAGAACCTGAGTTCAAATCCGGCCTCAGATATGTAATATTTCCTAGCTGTGTGATTCTGGGCAAGTCACTTAACTCCAACTGCCTCACTAAAAAAAAAAAAAAAAATGTAAAAGTGAGCTAAACGTAGTTGGGGCAATGGTCCATTATAAGAAAATAGGTTATTTTCATGGGGCTAGCAATACTCTTGGCTAAGAATTCTGGACAGTAGGCTACAAAAAGATCTATTCCAACATATAAACCATATAATGTGCAAATATACTGTGGGGTAAGCTAGGGTATTCCAGAGATGATTCTTGCATGACCATGCCACACTCTTGCATTCATCTTGTTAACTGCCCTTACTTCTATCTTCTGTACGTATCTTTATAAAAATCTTGTTTATCAATGAGTTATCTGGACATTCACAAGACAACTCCCATTTTCTTCCTTATCTGCACTGCTTCTCTTTGCATTCAGAATTTTACTCTTGAGACCTTTCCATTGCTCCTGGGTTGACTTCTCCTATAGACCTTCAGCCCATGGTATCCTACCCATCCTTCTTTGAGCCTTGGAAATATGGTCTCTCCAAATTTAGGGTATATATCAGATTATTTCTGGCTTTCATTTCCTTCTCTAGCACAAGTTTTAAGATGAAGTGGTTACTTCACCCCCTCAAAGGCTTAAATGGTTACTACTATACTTAGAATGCTCAGTTTGATGACATCCTCTCCATCCTTTAAGGTTCAATTGAAATGCCATCTCCTCCATGAAGTTTTCCCTGATCACTTGGCCTGAAGCAATTTCTCCCTCATTTGATCCCATAGCACTTTATATTCTTGTGCACTTATTCTAATTTGGACAGAGAAATGGATTTGGAATCCAATGACCTAGGTTTCTATCCTGGCTCTCCAGTTACTTCTTGCCTTTGTAACCTTGGGCAACAGTGTTCACTTCTTTCATTTATTCATTCCTATAGTCATTTCACAAATATTTAAATATCTACCATATGCAAGGTACTATTCATGAGATACATGTGTGTCATATGTCATAAACACTGTGTCACAGAAGTAACAATCCCATCTCAAAGAAAACACAAATAACCACAATACAAGGACAAAGTCCAAAGAAAGTGGCAGAAGATATTTTGAACAGGGAAAGATAACTTTACCAGCTGGGAAGGGCCTAGGTCTTGAAGCATCAGTTTCCTCAACCATAAAATGACATTGAGACTAGAAAAAAAGAGAGGCTAGAAGACCTCTAAGGTCTTTCCAACTCTAAAACCCTATGACCAAAATCATATTTATCTATGCATATATCCTACCACCTTTGACTCTAAACTCCATATTAGTGATTGGTTAATAAGTGGCAGAGATTCGTGCCCAGGTTTTCCAAACCCTGACTCTTTCCATTACATCACAGGTCCTTTTCAGGTATAGGGTCCACAATTCTATCTGTGATTCATATTCATCTTTACATACTAAGAAAACTAGCAGTGATTTGCACTGATTTGCATATCAAAAAAGGACTTTTTAAATAAGAGCTGGTATTTATTACCTATGCAAATCAGTGGAGTAAGCATTACAGGGGGATAGGCTGACGAATATGTGACACTATTATAGGACCTGAAGTTAATCCATGGTATAATATATGTATGAAGAATCCTACATTTGAAATCTGAATCGTGCTGTGCTACTTAATAGCTATGTGACTATAAGCAATTCACTTCAAGGTCTGTTTCTTCAAGAGAAGAGAAGAGAAGATATAAAAAGGAAGACAAAAGAGAAAGAGATAAGAGAGAGACTAAGAAAGAAAAAGAGATAGAAAAAGCTAAAAAGAGATAGAGTGAAGGGGGCAGCTAGGTGGTGCAGTGGATTTTATCACCAGCCCTGATGTCAGGTGGACCTGAGTTCAAATCTGGCCTCAGACCAAACACTTGACACTAGCTGTGTGACCTTGGGCAAGGCACTTAACCCCAATTGCCTTAAAAAAAAAAAAAAAGATAAAATGAGAGCCAAAGGACAGAGAGAGAAAAGAAAGAGTTAATAGAGATTAAGAGAGGGGGGAAGAGAGAAAGAAAAAGAAACAGAGAAAGATAAAGAGAGCTAGAGATTGAGAGAGAAAAAGATGATAGGAGAGAAACATAAAAACAAAGAGATAAAAGAGAGACAGACAGAGAGAGACAGACCTGCAAGGGAAGCTGTAACATTCAGTGCTTCGGCCCGGAATCCCGGTGCACTTTGCAAAGATCAGGAAGGGGGAGGGGAGGAGAGGGGTAGAGACGCGCAGGGACTGCCCGTGCACTGCCACCCTGGCTGTGCAGAGCAGCCGACCTGCGATCTCTTCCCGGGAAGGTGACGTGTTGGGGGCTGGCTTTTCACTGCTCGTTCCTGTGGGGTTCCCCGGGAGTAAATCTCAGAAGCGCCCACGGGGAACCGCGCATGTGCGCGCTGAGCCGAGGCTGGGAGTCCCACACCGCGAGGCAGACCGGGGGAGCCCGGAGGCCCGACACGAGAGGGAGGGAGAGGCCGCCGGCCCCCGGGGCGCAGCCTCGCTCTGCCCCGCCCGGCCTACCTGGTAGAGCTCGGAGCCCGTGTCGACGTGGGAGCCCAGCGCGGCCACCGCGTCCCCGTGGTAGGAGCGCAGCCTCGGGGCCGCGGCGCGGCCTAGGAGCAGGGCTCGGACGCCAAAATTCAGGGCGGACAGCATCGCGGGGAAGGAGGGCGGAGAGGAGAAACAGCCAGAGCCTCGGAGCGCAGCCCCGCCCACTCCGGCCCGTGAGGGGCGTGGCCACATGCACAGTCACGGATTGGTCGGCACGGCCCCGCCCTCCCCTCCACCACAGCCAATGACTAGTTTTACCTCGCTTCCTATCGGGTAAACTAGTCCTAAACGCCGCCGCCTCTCTGAGGCTCAAGTGTTGGCCTGCAGTCGCGAGATGCGCGTAGATCCTTTCTTAGCTTTCTAACAATGTGGGACTTTACTCTAGCTTTGACAAAATGTTTGCGCCTCCTGTGAGTTTAGGTATTAAATTGGCAGCAAAACTGCAGTCTGAGAGACACTTCCCCCAAAAAAAGAAAGAGGATTTACTAAGTAATAAAAAAGTGTGTACGCAGGTAAACATTCTGGAAAAAATGTCTTTGGAAAATGGAGTGTACATTTTGCTAGATCTAGGGAAGATCCAAAAAGAACTTCCTCCCCACCAAAAAAAAAAAGGGAGGGAGGAGGCGTTAGTTACTAAGAAACAAAAAATATGTGCACAAGTAAATCTCCTGGAACAATTTTCAGTGTCTGTCCCTGGAAGGTGGAGTATACAGAGCACTTTGCTAGATCTGGAGGAGATTTAAAGATGACTAAGACACTACCATGGAGCGTAAGATAGCGGGAAGACAAAATTCATACACAGAACACAAGATCAAGCAAACGGATGGTTTGGTAGCCAAGTTGGGGAGAATATTAAGGAAAATTTCAAGTAGTCCAGAGCCCTAATTTTATAAATGAGGAAACTGAGGGTCAAAGTGGAGAAAGTTATTCGAAACGATCGTGCATGCAGCTAATAAATGTCAAAATTGGAATTCAGGTCTTCTGAGTCTTTTAACTCCAAGTGCATCTTCATTTGATTGAATTTAAATCTGAGGATAAATTTAAAATGGAGAATCAAAGTCCCCAGAGTCTTGGAAAGTCCACTAAATACTGCTCAAGTTACAAAGTAATTCAAGGTGATTTCAAGAAGGAAAGAATACTAATAACTAGGGATCAGGAAAGACTTCATGTAGGAATTGCTAACTAGGCCATACTATGGAAGCTAGGAATTCTACAAGACTGAGGTGAGGAAGGAGTACATTCCACAAGTGGGGGACAATTTGTGAAAAGGCATCTCTTTTGTGGAGGTATAGTAAAGAAGAATCAACAACTAATTGGGTATGGGATTTGAGGGAAAGGGAAAAGCAAGAATGAGTCAAAGGTTATGAACACAAATGACTGTTGTTGGTTGGGCTGCCAACAAAAAATGGGAAGTTTGGAGGAGGGATAGATTTGGGAAAAATATTGGAGGAATATGTTCTTGGATTTGAGTGTCAATTAGTACTAGCTTAATAAGTTTTTGTTTTAAGTGTATTTTGTGCTATTTTTGTTCTCTGAAAACTATTCATTAGTGTATGTATGATATGGCAGGAATTGGCACACTTAGAAATCTCTACTCCAGCTTCAGTCTCATAAGAGATAGAGGAGTTGATGTTCAGGGAGAGGAGGAGTCAAGATGACAGAGTAAAGGCAGGGATTTGCCTGATCTCTCCCTGAAACCTCTCCAAATGCCTTTTAAAAATGACTCTAAACAAATTCTAGAGCAACAGAACCCACAAAAAGACAGAGTGAAAGAAATTTCCAGCATAAGACAGCTTGAAAAGTTGGCAGGAAAGGTCTGTTGCACCAGGATAAGAAAGGAATACAATCCAGTGTAAGCTACACCAGCATAGACTTGGCCCCAGCAAACCTGGGCCTTGGGGTGATTCAAACTGGTAGCAATGGTGGTTTCCAGACCTCTCAGCCCACAGATTGCCAAAGACAACTTAGAAGGTTAGCAGGAAAGGAAAGCACCAGGGTAACAGAGGAGCGCAGTTTGGTGCAAGCCATGCCAAGGCTTGCGTGGCCCCAGCAAATCAGGAGCAGGCCACTGGGTGACTGAATCAGCAGTGACAGCAGCAGCTGCTTCTGGAGCTCTCAGCCCACAGATGGTAAGGGGATCAAACAACTAATCAGAAGATGATTACAGGGGTCTTTTTGCTAGCACTGAAGCAAGACTCTGTTGCTTTGCCCATGTTGGGATCCAGGTCACAGTCCTGGGTGACAGTCCCAGGGTGAGGAGGAGGAGCACTAGTACAGCAGAGTTGGTGGCCACAGTGGAGGGGAGACCCTCTTCACAGTTCCAGGACAGAAAAGAGTTCTTATGATCACTTTCAGACCACAGCATAGGCCAGGAGAGGAGTAAACACCTCTCCTTAGATCATACCGTCTTGGAAGAACTGAAAACTTACAGGTCCATAGAAGTATCTCTGAAAACAGCTGCACAAAACCTCTGAAGCTTGGGACAGTGAACCCTTCACCCTGGAAGGAGAGCCCTTTTAACTCTTTTAACAAAGAGTTAAAAGTCAAATAATAACCCTCTGACCCAGCAATATCACTTCTAGGGCTATATCCTAGAGAGATCATACAAATGGGAAAAGGACCCACATGTACAAACATATTTATAGCAGCTCTTTTTGTGGTGGCAAACAATTGGAAATTGAGAGGATGCCCATCAATTGGGAAATGGCTGAACAAGTTGTAGTATGTCAATGTAATGGAATACTATTGTGCTATAAGAAATTATGAACAAGCTAACTTCAGAAAAACCTGGAAAGACTTGTATGGTCTGATGCTGAGTAAAGTAAGCAGAGCCAGGAGAACACTGTACACAGTAACAGCCCTGTTGTGGGATGACTTAACCGTTCTCAGTAATACAAGGATCTAAGACAAAGGCTTCATGATGGAAAATGCTATCCACATAAAAGGAAAGAACTATGGAGTTTGAATGCAGATTGAAGCATACTATTTGCTATATTTTTTCTTCTGTTGTGTTTTGTTTCCTCTTTCTGGTATTTCCTCCTATTGGTTCTAATTCTTACTTACAGCATCACTAATGTAAAAATAATAGGAATGTATATGTATAGCTTATATCAGATTGTGTGCCGGGAGGGGGGGAGGGGGCAAAGAAATATTTAAAACTTAAAAGTTTATGGAAGAAAAGGAGAGGAAGATGGCGGAGTGAGGAACCCGCGGTGGCTGGGGTTGTCCAGCCCCAGTCAGCTGTCGGCTAGTCTTGACAGCTCAGCTTTCTTATTCTAGACACAACAATTTTCCTACAGTGTTTATGTTGTCCTCATCTTAAATGGAAAACAGAATCCATAGCTCAGGATTTAGTAGATCCTTCACTGTTTTCTCAGGTGATCCTGCTTCTTTTATGTAACTGCAGTCCTAGGTCTTGACATGTGGATCTATCTCCTGTCTACTTTAACTCCATGGACCAGAATGGAAAAAATTTCTTCACTTCATGTTTCACTTCTCAAATACAGCACATTTAGCTTGTTAGGTGACTTCCTCCTTGGCGCCATCTGGCTGGCATCATGCCAGTTCTTCCAGGGAAAAAGAAGCAATTTATGTTGGTACTCAGCAGCTATTTGCTTAGAGGAGAGAAAGGATTTTTTTTTCAAATATAAGCATAATATTTAGATTGCTGTCAGGTGTTTAGATGGTGGCATTTGTGAGTTCTTTGCCCTTTATGCTTTACAAGAATACACAGTAAGAAGTAAAAATGTCTGCAGGGGCTACTTGTATCCTGTTGGAACTAGCATAAAATTACACATCTGCATAATTACAGCAAGAAATCTTGTATTTCAATACAAGAAAGTACATTTCAGATCTGAATCCTAATTAATTCCATTACATAGATTTCTCAGTCCAGAACACCAACTTTGTAGATACTCCAGGGATGTGGTAAGTAAAGCAGTTTATGTACTGTATGATGTCCCTGCATTTTTTATGTGTATGAAGAAAACATGTTCTTTGAACAAAGATATTTCTGCATGGGTATATCCACATTTGTCAGTGAGAAGAAAGATTTCTTCCAAGAACAAAGCCTGGCTGCCTTGTCTTTTCCCCTGGTAACACTTGGTTGCTTCATACCATTTTAAGATGTTTTTCCATTTTCACAAGAAAGGAGCAGGCTGTACAGAAGCAGACCTCATGAATGCATTCCTGGGTCCATTGAAAAACAGTTTTCATTGACTTTTGACTAAACAAAGAACAAAAAGTTTTGATCTTACCAAGAATGGGGGCTCTCTTGTGCATATATATGGCTTGATGTCACCTTTTTTTCCTTGTGGAGTGTTATGGGACATTCTGGAGTTGGCTTTTCATACTGCTGTGACTAAGAGTGAACTAAAATAAGGCATCTGCCATTGGATACTCAGAATACCAGATCAAAACTATAGTTGGCTATGAATATAGCAGAATGGAAAAAGAGTGGGAGTAGGACAGAAAATTTTTTTTTCCCATACAACTTCAACCTGAGAGACAAAAAGCAGAAATACTTTGTGCAGCTCAATTGGACTGACATATTTGCATGACATTCTGTATCTTCATCCCTTGCAGTGTCATGGGAACATTATCCTTCAATTCAAGATGGCTGTGAGAGTGATATCCATCGGTGAAACTGAAGCATCTCACCAGAGAGTGAGCCTCAATATAATGTCCACCAACCTTGGCTTGAGGCAGGATGAACTTAGATCTAGAAGAAATTTAGCAACTATATTCTGTCCCCGGAGAACATCTGCCCTCTTTTATTTGTTATCTTACATTACTAGAGAAGTCAGTGTAAAACTTATCAAATATTAAGACCATATGTTACATCTTTGTGTTTTTGGGAATATGCACATCCAGAGCCCTGGTATGATACTGGAGTAAAGAGCCTGGATTCAGACTGCTCTGCCCAGGTAGAATTTTGTTAAAGACAAGAATTGCCAGAATGGAATGTTATCCTTTGATGAATAGTAGGTCTTAGCCAATGGGAATTGAAATCTAAATCAAAGTGTCTTTTAGGGGGAAAGAAGATTTAGATAAAGCATGATTTTAAAAGGGTAATAGTTAAGATTGGCTAGTAGTAAAATACACCA